TAATATTTTTAGAGAAAATTATTAACTTTAAAATAATATGCTTAGAACTGGCTGCCTGTATTGCATGTTATATAGTTTTTTGGCAGTGGAAAACTAATATGAGTATTTCTAGACCTTGCAGGTCTAGAAGCACTCTGGACAATTTATCTTTTTATACTTGGAAAGAAAGAATTTAACTTAATTAATTTCAAAGTGTATAGAAACTGCTAATTTACATGATTAAGTGAACTAAGGTTTTTGAAAAACCGCATAAAAGAAGTTTGTTTCCTTGAGAAAAAGCTTCCCAAATGTTTGGTTTATCCTTTTTCTCCCATAGAAGACCAAAATGATACTGTGCCTGTTTTCAATCAGGAAAATCTTTCTGCAAGTTGACCTGGTCACAATGCATATTTCTATAATCAAGAAAACAATGGTTTCTCAATAGCATAATGACATTAATTAGCATTTAAAGAATTTGAGTTGAGGAACAGTCACTTTCACAGTCATATTTTAGTTTATTGTCTTCAAGGCAACAATTTCAACCTCTGAAGTGGCAAGCTACTAAGGCAGCATGTGGTTTAACTCTTCAATACCCATTAGCTACATTCAACCCAGAAGTGAAGCTTTGGGCAATTAGATGTTGATATGGAGGGCCTTTAATATCCTGGTTTAATGGTGTGAAAACATTTTATGTATCTCTGGTTGGACATGAGAATGGCAGCTCAACTGTGTTCATAATTCTTCCCAGCAATATGAATAATGCTGTTTGGAATTTTAACCACCAGTTGTAGCAGCATTCTGCCATCAGTCAAAGATTAAGTTTCCCCTAGTTACATCCAGCTGGGATAAATTCAGATTTGCACTTGAGAAGAGTGTTATTTTAATATGTGAAATTCACAGTTCTATGCTCAAATCATGGTAAGTAAGTAAGTTTATATTAATGCTCAGTTGCTATGTATCAGGTTAGATCTGGGTACAGTGTTTCTAATATACTTGAAATATTGCTAATTTTTTCATGTTTTTCTTGGGTTCAAAACTAAACAATTTGTTTATTTGTCCCAGCATTGTCCCTTACTTGCTGATCAGTAATATTTGTACATAAACATACATTTGAAGCTTTGTTGCCACTAGTCATGATCCACAAAAGCATCTACAATTACACTCTCATATTTATACTCTGTTGGTGAACAGAGGTGTTATAATACCCTTTGTTGTTGTTGTTGTTAATTGCGAAGTCGTGTCCGACCCATCGCGACCCCATGGACAACATTCCTCCAGGTCTTCCTGTCCTCTACCATCTTCTGGAGTCCATTTAAGTTCACACCTACTGCTTCAGTGACTCCATCCAGCCATCTCATTCTCTGTCGTCCCATTCTTCTATTGCCCTCAATCTTTCCCAGCATTAGGCCCTTCTCCAGTGAGTCCTTCCTTCTCATTAGGTGGCCAAAGTATTTGAGTTTCAACTTCAGGATCTGGCCTTCTAAAGAGCAGTCGGGGTTGATCTCTTCTAGGACTGACCGGTTTGAACGCCTTGCAGTCCAAGGGACTCGCAGGAGTCTTCTCCAGCACCATAGTTCAAAGGCCTCAATTCTTTGGCGCTCAGCCTTTCTTATGGTCCAACTTTCACAGCCATACATTGCAACTGGGAAAACCATGGCCTGGACTATACGCACTTTTGTTGGCAGGGTGATGTCTCTGCTTTTTAGTATGCTGTCTAGATTTGCCATAGCTTTCCTCCCCAGGAGCAAGCGTCTTTTAATTTCTTGGCTGCAGTCCCCATCTGAGGTGATCTTGGAGCCCAGAAAAATAAAATCTGTCACTACCTCCATTTCTTCCCCATCTATTTGCCAGGAATTGAGAGGGCCGGATGCCATGATTTTGGTTTTCTTAATGTTGAGTTTCAAGCCAACTTTTGCACTCTCCTTCTTCACCCGCATCAGGAGGCTCTTTAGTTCCTCTTCACTTTCTGCCATTAGAGTGGTATCATCTGCATATCTTAGGTTGTTGATATTTCTCCTGGCAATCTTAATTCCAACTTTTGATTTCATCTAGCCCTGCCTTTCTCATGATGTGCTCTGCATATAAGTTAAATAGGCAGGGCGACAGTATACAGCCTTGCCGGACTCCTTTTCCAATTTTGAACCAATCAGTGGTTCCATGTCCAGTTCTCACTGTTGCTTCTTGACCTGCATATAGGTTTCTCAAGAGACAAATGAGATGGTCTGGTACTCCCATCTCTTTAAGAACTTGCCACAATTTGTTGTGATCCACACAATCAAAGGCTTTAGCATAGTCAATGAAGCAGAAGTAGATGTTTTTCTGGAACTCCCTAGCTTTTTCCATGATCCAGCGTATGTTGGCAATTTGATCTCTAGTTCCTCTGCCTCTTCGAAATCCTGCCTGTACTTCTGGTAGTTCTCGATCCACATACTGCTGGAGTCTAGCTTGTAGGATTTTAAGCATAACTTTACTAGCATGTGAAATGAGTGCAATGGTGCGATAGTTTGAACATTCTTTGGCATTGCCTTTCTTTGGAATTGGAATGTAAACTGACCTTTTCCAATCCTATGGCCACTGTTGAGTTTTCCAAATTTGCTGGCAAATTGAGTGTAGCACTTTTACTGCATCGTCTTTTAAGATTTTGAATAGCTCAGCTGGAATACTGTCACCTCCACTAGCTTTGTTGTTGCTCAGATTTTCTAAGGCCCATTTCACTTCACATTCTAGGATGTCTGGTTCGAGGTCAGTGACCATCTCATTGTGGTTATCTGGGACGTTAAGCTCATTCTTGTATAGTTCTTCTGTGTAGTTTTGCCATCTCTTCTTAATCTCTTCTGCCTCTGTTAGGTCCCTGCCATTTTGGTCCTTTATCATGCCCATCTTTGCATGAAACTTTCCCTTCATATCTCCAATTTTCTTGAAGAGATCTCTGGTCCTCCCTATTCTGTTGTTTTCTTCTATTTCTTTGCACTGTTCATTTAAGAAGGCATTTTTATCTCTTCTAGCTATTCTCTGGAATTCTGCATTCAATTGGGTGTATCTTTCTCTTTATCCCTTGCCTTTCGCTTCCCTTCTTTCCTCAGCTATTTGCAAAGCTTCCTCAGATAGCCATTTTGCTTTCTTGCATTTCTTTCTCTTTGGGATGGTTTTAGTTGCTACATCTTGTACAATGTTGCGAACTTCCATCCATAGTTCTTCAGGCACTCTGTCTATCAGATCTAATTCCTTAAATCTATTTGTCACCTCTACTGTATATTCATCAGGAATATGATTTAGTTCATACCTGAGTGGCCTAGTGCTTTTCCCTACTTTTTTCAATTTAAGCCTAAATTTTGCAACGAGAAGCTCATGATCTGAGCCACAGTCAGCTCCTGGTCTTGTTTTTACTGACTGTATAGAGCTTCTCCATCTTTGGCTGCAGAGCACATAGTCAATCTGATTTCTATGTTGACCGTCTGGTGATGTCCATGTGTAGAGCCGTCTCTTGGGTTGTTGGAAAAGAGTGTTTGTTATGACCATCGTATTCTCTTGACAAAATTCTATCAGCCTGTGCCCTGCTTCATTTTGTACTCCAAGGCCAAACTTGCCTGTTATTCCAGTTATCGTTTGGCTTCCTACCTTAACATTCCAATCCCCCATGATGATAAGGACATCATTTTTTGGTGTTAATTCTATAAGGTGCTATAGGGCTTCATAGAATCGGTCAATTTCATCTTCTTCAGCACCAGTGGTTGGGGCATAGATTTGGATTATTGTGATATTGAATGGTTTGCCTTGGATTTGAATTGTGATCATTCTGTCATTTGGGGGATTGTATCCCAGTATTGTTTTTCCTATTCTTTTATTGACTATGAAGGCTACTCCATTTCTTCTGAGGGATTCTTGCCCACAGTAGTATACCTGATGGTCATCTGAGTTAAATTCACCCATCCCTGTCCATTTTAGTTCGCTGATTCCTAAGATGTCGATGTTCAGTCTTGTCATCTCTTTTTTGACTAAGTCTAGCTTGCCTTGATTCATGGATCTTACATTCCAAGTTCCTATGGAGAGAAAATCTTTACAGCATCGGACTTTCCTTTCACCACCAGATATATCCACAGCTGAGCATCCTTTCGGCTTTGGCCCAGTCGCTTCATTCTTTCTGGCGCTACTAGTACTAGCCCTCTGCTCTTCCCCAGTAGCATATTGGACACCTTCCGACCTGAGGGGCTCATCTTCCAGCGTCATATCTTTTTGCCTTTTAGTATTGTCCATGGGGTTTTCATGGCAAAGATACTGGAGTGGGTTGCCATTTCCTTCTCCAGTGGATCACATTTTGTCAGAACTCTGTGCTATGACCTGTCCGTCTTGGGTGGCCCTGCACAGCATAGCTTATAGCTTCATTGAGTTACACAAGCCCCTTCGCCACGACAAGGCAGTAATCCATAAAGGGGATAATACCCTTTACATCCTAAAAATATCATAAGCATTTGATTATACATTGCAGTATATTTACTGTTAGGACAAATATAACCCTAATGTACTATAAGTTATCACAGCTGCTACATATAGGATTTTTGGATTTTTAAAACTCAGTGGGATGCTTAGTATAATGGTTGGTCTGCACACATGAATATAGAACAGGGGTCTTCAAACTTGGCCCTTTTATGACTTGTGGACTTCAACTCCCAGAATTCCTCAGTCAGTGTGCCTGGGCTGAGGAATTCTGGGAGTTGAAGTCCACAAGTCATAAAAGAGCCAAATTTGAAGACTCCTGATATAGAGCATACTTATTAGGCTGTGACATTTATCAGTTTCCTTCCTCAATGTTTAATAGCAAAACTATACATGTATTTTAAAGGACAATCCAAAGTTGCAATGAAGATGATCAATGGACTGTATAAAGCAGCAATAAGCTTACATTTTTATAAATCTGAGTGAGACCTACATTTTACTCAATGATAACATTGTCTCATGGGAACTGAGTATATCTTTCAAACTGTTATGTCAATGCATATTGACTGGTTTTTTTTCTTGTGCAGATTGTTATAGTAGAAGTTCAAGGCTTGAAGTCTCTAGCTCCGAGCCGTATTGTTTACTGTACAATGGAAGTAGAAGGAGGAGAGAAACTTCAAACAGACCAAGCTGAAGCTTCAAGACCACAGTAAGATTTTCAAATAATGGGGTTTCCCCCCTTTTTTATAAGGAGGGCCCCTTCAGTCTTGTGAGAAAATTTGCTGTAAATTTGGAGCTATGTTTATGGAAGTAAAAGTTAGCAAAAAGTAACAAGACACTCAGTGCAAAACTGATGGATCACTGACAGACTGGTGGCCTGGTTGCCATATCTCTTCTAGGAGATAACAGCAGAAGGGTTGAAGAAAAGGCTTGATGGGAGAACAGAGGAAAGTAGACATGCCCAACATCAGTATCTACAGGACGATGAATAAAATTAAGATGGTTATTTATCAGAATTACTTGCTTCTTTTGTCCATGTGTCTTTGTTGCTCATATGAACAATGAGGCAGGTTTTAATCATATTGTCAAGACTGCTAACATCGTATGTTCTTGCTTGCCATATATGAAGAAGCAAACCTGTTTTATTTAGCCGAGTAGCATTTCTAGAGTTAAGACAGATAGCAGTAGGTTAAGGGGTGGGAAAGTATGCAAGTTAACCATAACAATGTCTGGGCACAGTGTGGCCAAGGTCAGCTCAGCTGCAACGGGAGGGGCACCTCACGGTTCACATTAATTGGAGAATGTGATTGATGACTGTAAAATGAAGGAGTGAGTTATGCTTTGTTACAGATGCTTGGGGGAGGGAGGATTCAGTTTCTGGCTTAACTTTGTTAGTGCCGAAGCTATGCAGAATAATAAAAGATTCTTTTAGAGGAAAAAGCCTCAAAATTCTTTGAAAATCTGCTTTCTTTCGGAACCATGTCACATATTGCTGCAGAACCCTCTTAATAATTTTGACACACACACACACAAACCCTGCATGGCTGACATAGCCTGGGACTGTCTTTGGATGATGTCAGAATAATGGAAGAGAAAATACTACTTGAAAATGTTTGTAGCTGACAAATACTTAAGACTCTGTAACACATGGACTGGGAATGAGAGGAAGGCATCATTATAGGGTGAAGGCCAATAATATCAGTACCCTTATTTATTTCATTCATTCCACTCAATGTACGACTACATAGCAGCGAAGACAGCAAAACACATCTTGTTTAGCCCTTCCTTCTAGAATTACATTTTACTTTTATTCTTTAAAAACATCATAAGGTGGATGAATCATAATTCATCGTGATTATTCTTCATTTACTAAATAGGCCATAGTCCCAAATTACTTACTTGAGTAAAATAAGTAAAATCTTACAATCCCCAGTGACTTTATAGACGTATGTAATATGCGAGATGTTTGGTGTTGCCTACTTCCATACAGTTCTGTCAATTTCCCAGTCTAATCTTCAAGCTGGGATTACCTGGTTGCCTTTCTTCCAAATACAAACTAAGGCCAAGCCTGTTTACCTTTTCAAGATTAGTCAAGATCAGCTAAGTGCTTCCATCTAGCTGGATGATAATATTATTGATCTATTTGATAACGTTCGATAAATTCATTGGTAATATCCTGTCTGTCTGCCTATTTATCTTTATGCCTACATGTTTTTAGTTTACCTTGAACTCTTTTTGATTAGGTTTAATGAAAATGGGGTATCTCAATATGGAAGTGTTCTCTTCAGAAATTAAATTTGAGCAGCCGACGTGTGTGGTAAAATATAATGAAGGTGAAATGAGTGGTTTTCATGTGTAATATTTTTTTCTTTTTTTGTTGTTTTATATTGCTGGATCTGCTGGATTGATCTTCATAAATGTATACATTTAGTCAGAGATGCTTTGCTTGGCTGAGATTCAACTTGTACACATATCTTAAAATTAATGTCCCATAAATTAATCCTGATAAAATTCACTATATGACAACTTTCTTCAACCTGGAACCCTCCAGATAAGTGAGTTATAATTTGCATAATATTCAGCTCATTCAGTGAAGTCTTTGTTGAAGATTATGGGACTTGTGGTTGGCTTCCTCTTGGATCTTCTTTCAGCTCATTTTGGGAGGATGCACTAAACAAAAAGACTCCAGGAGAGAAATCTCATTCTAAGGCTGACAACTAGAAGTTAATTAAATGTGCTTCTAATTCATTTGATTGGCCTCTGGGGTGATACACTTTCTTCAAAAGCCTTTCCCTTCTGTTAAAACATCACTCAGAATCTTTTGTAGATCTGTTTTAAAACATACTACCAAGAGTGTCTCCTGCTCTTTAATGTGTGCTGTTTTGAAGATTGTAGTCACAAAATTCCTTGTGGACCAACCATGAACTTGACATTTGCTAAACAAGTATAAAACTCCATTTGGAAGTATTATAAGCATACAGTGCAGAAAGTATGCAGGATTAAACCTGAGACCATTTTGACCCCCCCCAAAAAAAGTCTCAGATTCATGCATTTCTGCTTGTTTTCCCACTGAGTGGCAATAATATGTCCAACAGCCAATTAAAAACAAAATCTGTGCAATATAATTGGAAAACAGTAGTGAGGAAGACAATAAACCACAGATTTATTTTGGGCATAGATCATCATAAAATACAGATTTTCTTAAAACAAATGCAACAGATAACAAGAAATGGGCATTGGAAGGAAAACTGTAATTATTAATTTAGTAATTGTTGAGTACATCCAGAACCTACTGCAATTTTCGGAAACAAAACAAAACAAATATTAAAATAAAAAGCAACCAATAAGGTACACAGTACAATGGTGGAAAACATTTCAACTTTATTGTATACACTGAACAATTAAAGACATCTCAGTATTGAATAATGGCATTCGCCCAAGAAGCATTTAAAGGCATACAAAGACCTTAAAGCAGTGATGGCGAACCTTATAGAGGCCGAGTGTCCAAATGCAACCCCAAACCCACTTATTTATCACTAAGTGCCAGGTGAGCGTGGCTCACTGGGTGGACATGGATGTGGTGGTCATGGCAGATTGGGTGGGTGTGGCCAAGGTGGGCATGGTCACCTCAATGTTGCTCGTGGGGAGGGATGCCTATGGGGGTTGGGCAAGGTTGGGGGAGATCCAGGGGGTCTCTGGCAGGTGGGGCAGTAGGCAGGAGGCTCGTCCTGCAGGGTGAGGCGAGGCAGAGAGGGGGTGCCATTGCCATGTGGCAAGGCAAGGGCTGGGGTGGCTGCTGCCTGATGCCACTGGCCCCCTCATACAGAAGACAGAGTGCATGGGGGCTGACAGTGTCCATCAGCAGCCACAGCCTGCTGGTCCACTGGTGCACTCTGGGGCTCCGCAGCCTGCTGCCAGCAGTTCAAAGAAGCCGCCTCTGAAATGGATGGCCAGCCGACAGCTGAGGAGGCGATGCAGTGGATCGTGCCCGAGAAAAGGAGAGAATGCAAGGCCAGCAGGGACAGGATGGGGGGGGAGGGAAATCAGCCATGCCGGGAGGCATCCGGCCACGTAGGACCTTGGCGAGTTAGCAGGCAGCTGGTTGAAGAGGGACAGTTGCCATCTCCAGGGCATGGTGCACATGCCCACTGAGAGGCCTCTGATTGCCGCCTCTGGCACACGTGCCATATGTTCACCACCACTGCCTTAAAGAGTAATATCCCGTCTCAAGGAATGAGAAACTAATTGTGAATGTATAGTGAATAGAAGAGAAAGAATCTCAAACTGTGGTTTGTATGAATGTCCAGATCCTACATGTAAGAGTAGTAGCAACAGGAGTCATCTGCAGTGTTTACAGATGTGGTTTGTTGCTTTAGTTTCTTAATTGCTAAAGACAGACACATGAATGATCCATGTTTTAAAAAAATAAAAGGGAAAGAGAGGGAAGAGCAAGAGAAAATTAACTAAGAAAAGATAAGTTGGTGAAAATTAAAACAGTATAATAAAAAAGAGGGAGTATAGATAGTCATCAGGTTACAACTGTAACTGAGCCCAGAATTACCACCATAAGTCATTCTGATCATTAAGTGGATCGTCCATTGATTGATCCAATTTTATGACATTTTTGTAACAGTTGTTAAGTGAATCCTCTGTAGTTAACCAAACCATTGTGTGCCATCGGGAGTTTTTCCAGAAACCATAAGTCAAATGACCCTGGGATGCTGCAAACATCTCGCTTCCAAGTGCCCAAAATGCAATCACATGACTTGTGGGGTGGCCACTGGAACTTTGGGGGGTCCATCATAACCCTTAATTGTCGCTAAACAACCAGCCATAATTCAGGAACTATCTGTTATTAGAGGGAAAGGAAGGGGGGAATGATAGAAATATGGGAAGAGTTGATCAGTCATGTAGCTCACAGGCAAGTAACTATGGGATGATGGGGCTTGCTGTATTGTCCCATTTCTACAGGGATTGCAAAAAGCATTTGATTGACATAGCAGTTTTTAAATTTTAGGCTGGGAATGGGAGCGTTTTGCCATAGTGATTCAAAAGATACACACCAAAGATGAAGCAAAAATCAGGCATTTTACCACTGAATTCTGGTAGCATGATCTTGGCATACTGAGATTCATGTATGGCTGTAGGTTGCCTGTCCTTGGCATAGCAAAATGGTGTAAAATTTTTTATTCTTTTTCAGCATCCTTGCCACAGTGTTCTAACAGCAATGTATCATTTAAAATTTCAGAGTACCTTTTATTAACTTTTTATTGCCACAATTAAAGCATTAACATTTTTGTTTTAAAAATGTGCAGAACTCTCTCTTGATCTGGATCATTTAAGAAAAAAGAATGTACTTTGGTTGTATTTCCTTCTCTCCTCTTGTTCATCCATTTAGACTGAATATGAAGTAACTGACAAGGGGAACCATAAGCTGCTAGGTAATATGGACAGGAGATATGATTTTCTTTTTCATACTTTGCCTGATCTTTTGAAAGATTGGCCTAATAGATGTCTGAACGGTTGAAAAGAAACTCTGGACTTCAATGTTCATTCATTTCTATTCCTCCCCTCCTAAAGAGAAGACTAATGACACTATTAAAGGTTTCATTAGCATTCTCAAATTAAATTAATTCTCAAATTAAATTTTGAAAAGGTGCCAGATCAAATCCAGGGATTGTCAACATTCTGTCTAGGTTTGCAAGCTCT